CCCCTTCCCCGCGCCCCTCTCCGGCCACCCTGACCTCACCTTTCCTCCGCTAAGCGGTTTGAGAACCTCCAGTGTAAACAGGATTCTCCCGGGAGGCTGTTCCTCTCGGGCTCCTCCCCTCGAGGCCTGACCGTCTCTTGCTGCTCTTCTCCGACAGCTACTGCCTCAGTTTTCTCCTTCCCTCCTTTCCTTCCATCTACATCCATTCCTTCCTCCTCTGGCCTTCAGCTTTCTTTTCTCTCTATATCCCTCCTCCAGAGTCTCCCTCCAACCCCCGACTTAAAGATCCTTGAATTCCTATAAATCAGAAGGGGGCCGGGTATAGCCTTCGAAAAAGCTGAGGCTTAACATTGCATGGCATTACATCGCGCCGCCCTTCCCTGGCCCCATCCTTTCGCCCTTGCCTCTCTTCCATCCTTCCTGTAATTTCCCCAGGGAACCTTGTGAGTGTCGCTAGGGGAAATTAATTCGGCCAGGATTTGGGGGCTGGGAGCCCGACCTTGGGTGGGGGCGGTTGCTGAGGAGGTCACAGAGGTCTCCCGGAGGCCGGTGAAGTGAAAAGGAACCAATGGGATTCAAGTCAGTGGGAGAGAGGGGCTACGAATGAGATCTGACAAGGTGTGCCGAGCGGCCCTCCGGTGGGCTGTGCGATGGCATGTGACTTCACTGAGTAGGTGTCTTTGTATGTCTGAAATCCAGTGAGTGTGTGGGACTGCCCGTGTCAGTTACATGTGTGCATGTGGAGACATAGCTGTTCTGGAGCCATGTTGCCGCTTTGTGAAGGCCGAGTGGCTCCGCTGTGCTCTTGTGCTGTCTCAAGAGTGTGTGCCCGGATGCCCAAATACTGGGCCATGTGTCTCCGGATCGCGTGGGCGCCCCTCTGTAACTGTGTGTGAATCGGTGTCAGCTTGTGTCAGTGTCTGTGCCTGTGCTGAGTAATTGAGGCCAAAGAGCTGCTTAACACAAGACCTAGGTCACATACCCTCCTGGCAAAGGGATCATGGGAGGACAGTGACCAGGAGGACACAACGGGACAGGGGAGGAGAGGGCCCGGCCCCTTGGACTTTGGTCTTCAGTAGTCTCCCTCCCTCCATCAGCCTGCATGGGAAACTCAGGCCAGGGCCACACAGACTTGGTGCTGGGGGCCCCAGAGAGAAGCTGACGACCCCCTGGCTCTCCAGACCCAGGATGTAGGGAAAGCCCACCAGGTAATAGAAATGCCCTACTGAGCATGTGGCAAAGAAATGAGAACAGCAAAGTGGCAAGAAGCAACCCGAGCTGGAGTGACAGGGCAAGGGTTCTGCACTCCCCATAAAGCGAGAAAGGAGTTGGGTGTCCCTCCAGACACCAACCCACTCTCTTAGCCCCAACCCTGTTCCAGAAAGGACACACCCTCCCAGGGTGATCCACTCACCCAGAAAACTTCCATCCACATGGAATCAGATACACACCAACACCAGATCCGATCTGATCACACAGAGACACCATAGTGTCCCTCAGTGCCTGCCAAGGGGTAGGGTGGAGAGAGGACTGGAATCGAAATTGGAAGGGCTGCTGTGGTGTCCCAAGAGAGGGGACTCTTGTGAGAACCTCTCTGGGCCACATCAGAACCAGATGTCAAAGATGTGCTTGCTGGGGTCCTGGGAAGAGAGAGGGGCCGAGTAGAGGAAGAGGACTCTAGACAGGTACCTTTCCCCCTACTTTCCCGTCCTACCCACACAGACCTTGTCTGTCTCTCTTGGTCTACCATGTCCCACACTCTTTCCCTTCCAGGTTTCCTTTAACCTACTTCCCCTACATCCCCCCTGGAAATCCTACCGTTCTGCCACACCAGTGCACACACCACACCAATGCACTCACCGCGCTGTGCATGCGCCGCCATGCCCTTGCGCACACCACGGGTGGTCGGGAGGAGGAAGCTTCTTGCACTGTTTTGGGGTGGGAGTGGGCAGAAGTGAGAGGGGGCCGTTGGGAATCAGGCTAGGGGGCTCTTATTCCTGTAGTGTTTGGCCAAGTAGGAGCCTGAGGATTAGGGGGGCACACAGAGAAACAAAAGCATTCGAAGCTGGGGGGAATGCCCAGGAGAGAGTACTCAGGAAAAGGCCCCAGAGGTAGACAAAAGGCAGAGCAGGGCAGGCAGTGGGAGGGGGCAGGCGAAGAAGGCGGAGGGACCTCTAGAGGGGGTGGGGCGTCAGGACTGCGAGCAGATGGAGGGGATTTGCTTTGCTGAGCTGAACCCTTCAGCCAGTGAGGCTAGGCTGAACCTGGTGGGGGTGGTGAGCAGTTACCTTGGCTGCCTCTTCCCTGGCTTCACTTTGCCCCCTCCCTCGAGTCTTGGAGAAGGTACCTGGTCTCAACCTTTTTGTGGCCATGAGGACCCCGGGACCTCTGTTCTGTCTCTCAGCCACCCTGCCCACCTTCTCCATTTCACAGTCCTCTAAGCTCACTGCAGAGGGAGAACCGGGGCTGGAGGGCCTTAAGGGCTGCAGATCATTTGTGGTGAGAGAAAGGTGACCTCTCTCTCTCTTGTAGGACTTGAAGGAGAAGAAAGAGAAGGTGGAGGAGAAGGCAAGCCGGAAAGAACGAAAGAAAGAAGTAGTGGAGGTGCGGAAGGGTCACCTGCCCACTGAGCCCCCTGCTGCCTTCCTGGGGGCCCCGCCTTTTCCTGACCCCGCCCACCCCGCCGCCCCGCCCTCGGGGCCCTCCCAGGCCCCTTGCCATTGGTGGGGATGGTGGGCGGAGGCACAGGGCCAGCCTGACCACTCCCTCTCCTGGTCCCCACAGGAGGAGGAGAACGGGGCTGAGGAGGAGGAAGAAGAAACTGCTGAGGATGGAGAGGAGGAGGATGAAGGGGACGAGGAAGGTGGGGAGGGGCCGGGGAGGCTGGGCTCCAAGGAACAGGCAGGGTGGGTTTGAAGATCTGCAGCTGGGCTTCGGGCGACCACAGGGGGTCTCTGCCGGAGCTTCCTGCCCTTCCCCAATGACCCATTTCTGGCTCCTCAGATGAGGAAGAAGAAGAAGATGACGACGAAGGGCCCGCGCTGAAGAGAGCTGCTGAAGAGGAGGTTTGGGCTGGGTTGTGGGCTGAGGGGCTGTCAGGGATGCAGCAGGGCCGGGAGCCCTTTGGATTCAGACCGGATCCTGCTGGCGCCGGGGCGGGGGCTGGAGCGGGACTGGGGGCGGTCCCTCTCCAGTTTGACAGCTACCCCAGCTCTTTTCCTCTCCACAGGATGAAGCGGATCCCAAGCGGCAGAAGACAGAAAATGGGGCGTCGGCATGAGCCCCCTGCCAGTGGGCTGGGGGTGGGAGGCCCCTCAGGGCCTGGAGGTGGGGGTGGGGACAGCCGAGTGCAGCCACTCTTCACCTGTCTCCCTGCTCTGGGCCCTGCGCCAGAGCTGCCGCCCTCCCTCTCCCCAGCCTTCTCCTGCCGCCTCTCCATACACTGCCCCCTCCATCCTCACTGCCATCTTCCACCTCCTGACCTGCTCCATCTGAGCTCTCCAGCTGGTCCCCAGTTGCCCCCTCCCTCTCCCTTCTCCCTTCCTCCCTCCTGTCAGCCAATCCTACTCTCCTCCAGCCAATCTCACCCTCCTCGGCAGCCTCTCTTTCCTGTCCTCTGCATCCCAGCCTCACATCCTGCCCATCCCTACCCTGCCTGATCCCTGGGTCTCCCTCAGACACCCTCCTCTCAGACAGCGCCAGGCCGGGGTGGGGCCAGGGTTGGGGCCGAGCCCCACAGCTGCCCCCCTCCCCTCCCCTTTTTGTATAATTTAATAAAGAAACGGTCGCGCTTCTGTTTTTAACCTGTCTCCTGCTTTCCCGGTGCAGAGTAAGTAGGGTGGCCAAGGGCACATGCTGTCAGGGCCCCGCCCTTCTATAAAAAAGCAGCAGTACCCTCCTACCACCCACCACTTGAGAAGACAAGATTGCACTCTGGGGTGGGCAGGGAGTGTCTTTAAGAGCTGAATCCTGTCCTGGTTTTCCTGGTTTTGGATTATTAGGGCTGCTCCCTCCGGCCATACACACACCCTTCCCTCCTAGCAGGCACCAGGCTAGACACTGCTGAGCCCAGTGGAAAGCTACCAGCTCTATTGTGCTGAACCAGGCAAAGAAACAGCCTCAGAAACAGGAAGTCCCGCCCCTGAAGTGGGAGAAGGCTGGAGGCCTGGGTCTCAGCCTCCTTGGATGTTGTGAGAGTTGCCTGGTACTGAGGAAGTGAGCTCCTGGGGAGGCAGGGAGAACTCCAGGGCCTCCTGTGGCTCCAGGCCTGCTGTGTTCTGCCTGCTCAGGCTGGGTAGATCGCAGAGCTTCCCTGGCAGTCTCAGTCTTCCTTACCTAGTTCTGCCTCACTTTCCCCTGCATTTGGTCTCTGTTGCAAGATTTCTGCATTTCTCCAGGTCACCCTTGCCCTGCCTCAGTTTCCTCATCTGTACAATGCGGGATAATACTAGATTTCACGAGTTACTCCACGTAAAAGTTCCACTACGGTGCTCAGCACATAATGAAATCTCAACACAGTGTACCTATTTACCCTTGGGATGCTCTTCTTCAGACCTACCATTTGTAGGGTCTAGTAAAGCTGGAAGTCATCGGATGGGTGGGGAGGCAGGTGGACCAGGGCAGTGAGGTTCTGGGAAGTTATGGGAATGAGAGAGGAGATGAGTACCAAGGAAAGGGCTTGCTAAGAAAGGTGGCGACTGGGGAGGCAACTCAGAAGTGAGTAAACGGGTAGTTCAAGGCAGAAATGGTTTAGAGAGAAGAGCAGACGTCCCGAGAAAGGGAACAGTCAAGAGGGTGGGGGAGGAGTGGAGGGGGCGGTGGGGACACCCAGGACTGAGGAAATAAACAAGGGGAGTGCCACCACAGGGGTGGAGGGTAAGGCTGCTGGGAATCAGCCCCCTCAGACTTTCCACTGCGAAGCGAAACCGTGAGCCCTGGGGTGTTGGGGGGGGCAACGGGGAGGGGAAGTGGGGAAGGTGGAGGGAAGGCAGAAGGACAGGGGCCAGGGCCCTGGGAGCAGCAGAACAGCCTCCAGCTCAAGACAGCCACTTTGCCTCCACTCTGCTCTCTGCCTGCACCCAGCCCCATTCCCTGGGACCCCCCCACCCCACCCCACCCCACCCTAGACCCCACCCTCCCGTTGCCTGATCCAGCTAGCTTTCCTCTAGATTCCAGCCTCTGGTCATTGGTTCCTCCCCTCTCCAGGCCTCCATCCTTCTTTTTCTAGATTCTCTTCCTTCAGCTCCTTCTTTGCAGAACCTCTCTTTCGTCCATCAGTCCTTCTCCACTTTCTGACCTCTTCCCTCTGGACGGCTGTGTGGCCCAGGCCCAAGGGGAGATGCGGGAGGCTCATTTCCCGGTCTGGCTGTTTCTGCAACTGCTATGGGTGGCTGCAGGTAAGGGGGGGATGGCCCTCTGGGGGGGGTTGCCCTCCAGACCCACAGCAAGGGGTCAGTAGGGATCTCTCAATCGCTACACAGATGCCAAATTCTTAGATTAGGTGCCTTTCTTGGGGCAGTCCTTCAGAGCCTCTCTAGTTTCCCCCTTGGCAGGGAAGGGGCAGAAACCCAAGGTCTTCCTCAGCCCTGTTTCTCCCTAGGGAAACACTACGTCTCTTTCTCTACCTTGAAGTCTCTTGACTCATGGCCCTTCCTCTTGGCCTCTCTTTTCCTCCCCAGTGGAGGCTCCAGACCCTGGGGCAGAGGTCCCGGTGGTGTGGGCCCAGGAGGGGGCTCCTGCCCAACTCCCCTGCAGCCCCACAATCCCCCCCCAGGATCTCAGCCTTCTGCGAACAAGACATGTCACTTGGCAGCATCTACCGGACAGGTATGCATCCCAAACTGGGGCACCAGGACCCCCAAATCCAGCAGCAAAGGCATCTGGACCCACAATCCAAGGCCCAAGCCAGTCCTCCGCGTTCTCCCCTGAGCTGTCAGGCTCTCTGAAGCCAGTGGCTCAGCCTCCCCGGCCGCCCCTGCTGCACTCCTCCGCCAGCCTTTCCTCCGCTGAAGGTCCCCTCACACCTATGTCCCAGAACATGCCTGGCTCTCCAGTAGTGGATGGTGCTGGCCCTACGGGAGTGGGGGACGAGACGACTAGCGACCCAGAGATCCTCCCTTTGGGTGGGCTTCCTCATCCTCAGAGCGTGGTTGGGCTGCCTCTTCCCCGGGGCTTCCTCCCCCTCGGGTTTCTCAGTCCCATCTCGCTCCGTCCCAGTGGCCCCTCGGCGCCCTCCGCCCGGGGCCCGGGGCCCCGCGTCTACACGGTGCTGAGGCTGGCTCCCGGAGGCCTGCGCATCGGGAGGCCGCCCCTGCAGCCCCGCGTGCAGCTGGAAGAG